AAAAAACTAATGCCATTTCAACCATAATCCAATACAGCACAGACTCCTTTGCTAGAGATGTAGGATGAAATCAAGTAAATTAGTACTTCATGTTTGCATTAATTAGAGACAAACTTCAACTTTACGTTCTTCTGCAGCTTCCGCCTTGTGTTGACTCTGTTATGAGAGGATTTCACTCCTAGTGAGTAAATCCTAACTGAGCTCTATGTAATGTTTTGCACTGGGCTTTACCAGGTTGTCTGCAACCCTCTTAGTGATGGATCTAATGCTTGAGCAACACAGAAGTTTAAAGCTATGTCACATCCTCTGAACTAAACTGCAACATGGATGGCATACACAAGATGGACAGAATCTCCACCTGGACCACCCAGATACTGAGAACCTGAGTCCTTACAGCTAAACCCCAGGTTCTGCATTAAGAACAAAACAAAATAAATAAACTGTCTCATCAGTGTAGTTCAAAGGAACGGATGTCTTCTAGGTGGAATAGTTTGCACAAGACCAAAATTTCCATCCAGTAAGAATCTGAACTGTTTTTAAGCTAATCACAAACTAGTTTCAATCCTATGCTTTGGTGGCATAGAATTTTTCAAGATTCAATTGTCTGAGCTGAGCTATGTGACTTCAAGCATAATATTTCCAAACTGTCAAATAATCCCAGATTGGAGCATATGAGATTATAAAGCCTGAATCCACTGTCTTTGCTAAAGTATTTCCATAGTGAGAAGATACTTCCTCAGCTTTGGCTGGAGAAAGAGTGACAACTGCAAAGGAAATAGTATCACAGCCCCAACATTTAAATGTCCCTTCTTAACAAATGGCAATTCAAGACACTTTGACAAAAAACAAAGTATATTGCTCAATAATAGCTTTTCCATTCAATGGCTTCTTGTGTTCTGTTTGCATTCGCACATTGAACCATCACTGAGTGCCTAAATATCTTCCAAGGATGCCATCAAGTACACAGCTGTCAGCTGGCATATAAGGTTTCTTTTATGTTCTTCCTCGTAATGGAAATATCCATAGATCGTACGTTTTGAAAGAGTTTACTCATTTCTCCATGAAATGTCATGTGCTCTTATTAACAAAGGCTTAAGAAATGCTAGAGGCTCACCACAGAGGAATTTTGATGAACAAAAAATCAGTTCCCTAAGTGGAGTTTGGCCAAGACAGAATACATTGTCCTGTCATACAGTTTCTACAACTCCAGGTCCTTGAGAAAACAAAAGACAAGAGCCTGAAAATTTAAGACAAGGCCATGGCCCTAGCTCTAAAGTTTGATGAGTACAGCCCTGTGTGGCATAAATGAATGCAGATCTATTTCAGAGGCTCCAGCCCATGATACTGAAACATTTGACAGTTGATCAGTAAGTTTTTGAGATGAAAAGATGCAGAGGAACAAAAATATTAAGAAAGAAACCACCATACCTCCCACACATTCAGGGGATGAATCATTAAGAAGCCAATTCTGTAATTTGCTCCTCATTTCTCTGCAACTCTGCACAGGAAAAATTAGGTGATGATGTAAAACAAGAAAAAGTACTTTGCAACTGTCCCAACACCAACTCCTAGGAGCTATTCATTCAAGATCACCACTTACTTTCCTCAGCCCACACATGTGGTTCAGATGTCAGCAGTAGAACAAGTGCTATTTGAACTTAGCCCAGTCCCTCTTTTTGATGATTCTTCCCAGCAAGCGAAGGATAGAAGTGGACATAACTGGGGAGATTAGTAGTGTCTATCGTTGTCTCTTTGAGCACTAGCTGAACTATGATGTATCTATCCTAGGACAACTGCTTTTTCGAGTTTCATTTTTCCTTTCGGGAAAGGCAAACATGGTTAAATCAGATATGGGCCTTACTGATTTCTGCTAAATAAATTTGTGCTGTTCAAACCATTTGTGGAACATGTAATGTGGAAACTATATCCTTATGCTATCATAAGCAGGTGGGAAGCAAACCTACGTGTTTATCACCCATTGCTATTTGAGTTCTCATCAATTTGGCTTGTAAGAACAAGAGTCTTCAAGTGTAATTTACAGACATTCATTCATACTGAGATATTTAATCTTCAAGTTTATTTCATCTTGGTTCTAGGTTGAATGGGTCAAGTATGAGCTGTGTATTTGTCTTTGGGAGCTGGAGACTTGAAAGTGTTGATAGGCAAGAAGCAGACTTCTGGAGAACAGCAGCAAATATTGCCACAAACACTTAAAAAGAGGGCAAGCAAGGAGTACCTTTAAGTACTTCTTTTTACAGACCTCACACCATATAAACTACCACATATTTTAAAGCCAGATCTGCAAGCTCCTGGAAGTCATAGCCAGCAGTTGTTTGTTCATCTTAATAGAATGTCTTAATAGAATGTCTTGGTGAAATGGGCAGGAATTTTAGGGTTCTCAGTGTTTAGCTTCTTCATGTCTAAATTTTGCTTTTTCTTTTAATTATAAGAATGGTCACTGATCTACTGTAAAACATGAATGTCATATGGATTTTTTTTTTAAGTGCATAACATCATGGCCTATTAAAAAGTTTGACTAAAGAATTATGTAAAAGGCTTTAATAATTTAAATATTTGTTCAGCTATACGGAAATGTACAATATGTTTTATGTTTAGTGAGGAACCTGCAGTTGTTATAAATGTAATGAATTTACAAGTGTCCCATCCATTACTTAATACAACAATTTGCTAAAGTAATAACAACACTCATTCTGTTACAATTTTCCATATTTGAGATGCCAAAAGACAAGTCAGGGACACAAAATTCAAATAGGGATCAAAACTCCCCTGCATTTCAAGAGGACACCACACTGGAGTTTAGTTCAGTTATCTCTGTCAATACCATCACTTCATCCTTATGCAAGGAAATGTTACTGTAATATCACATAGAACGGAAGACAACATAATAGTTTGGCTCATTAGTATTTTTTTCCATGTAATGCTTTATAAAAGAGATAAAGCTGAAGAAAATAAAAACAGACATACATATTATGATGAAATACACTGTCCTTATTTAAATAAATTTCCTTGAGCAGTATCTTTTTAAAAGGTGAAAATTAAACACTAATATTAATTTCACTGTATAAAAGTGATGGCAGCAATTATAAAGAGCCCAATGGTCTTATGCCTATTTCATTCTAAAGTTTTCACAGCAAAAATAGTAAAATTTGCAATATTACCAAAAAGATGCAAACCTGTCAAATATATTACTCTGAAGTAAATTAACAATAAATTTATAGGAACCTACCATAGGAACTATTAAGTGGACAGTAGTAATGATTTTCTATATAAAATCTATCAAAAATTGTTGGAGAAAATATACGAAGCGTAGCTGATAGCTGATGAAATCTGCAATATGGCCACAGAGAAATAAGTTGCAGATCATCAAAGTTAGCTCTTGTGCAGAAACATCCACCATGAGTTCCTTAATTTCATTTTCACTGGAGAACAGCAGGAGGTTTCCATAATGCAACCATCACAGCAAACTGATTCAATGTTGTACTTTAAGCTTTACCCGTAGTTGGAACTTGCAACAGTTTAGATTTTTTTTGGTGCTCTGATCTGTTTTGCTCTCTGGAAGGCTATGTAAATATAAAAATCTTCAGCAGAAAGACAACTCTCGCTAAAGCACTGGCAAGTGGTCTCTGCAGAAGACTGCTAAAAAAAAAAAATAAGGATGAACAGATTTAGCTGAACTGGTAATGCCATACAGTACCTCTATACATAAAACAGTGAAATAGGTTTGTGGCAGAAGCTGATATTTGTGGTATAAGCCCTCCAGACATGCAAGCACATAAACTCTTGGAGTTCACAAGCCCCTTTGCAGGTTTAAAGGTGCTCATCTATGCAAAGCTTTTGCAGCCTGAATCAGCAGCCACTCCCTGGTCTTACAGCAATGAAGGCAAAATGCACTTTCAACTGTTTTGAATAGGAAAAAAAAAAAAAAAAAGTCAAGAGATCAATTCCATCCAACCTCAGGCATTCAGTTAAAGCACCTAAATAAGGATGTAATTAATTCAGGCTCCAATCATCAACCATGAATGGAAAACTTCAACCCCAAGAAAGTGCCTCAGCCTTGCTCAGATCAAGGGTGTCAGTGTTCCCAGCTCAGACATCTCAGCTGGGGTACAGAAATTAGGTGTGACAACCAGGTCTCCCTGCATATGAGTGCTCCTAGCAGAGCCCAGAGAGCTTTCACCATTCGCATGACTAAAACAAGTATAGCCATGTTCTGCTCTACTGGCCCTGCATCCAGCACCGAGACCAGCCAGAACTGCTTCTGGTTCTTCATCTAAATTAGGAAACATTTTTTCTTTCTATGGAAAATGTTGGCAGCTTTATAATTCCCCCTCCCTGCCAGCTAAACACTTGCCAATGTTTATTCAGTTCACATTCTGAATGGAAGATTAGATTGTTTCGGTTTTCTTCAGGCACAAAGAAAATAAAATAAAAAAAAATTAATTAGTTAGTTGAAACTTTTATTCAGAAATTGAGCCTATCAATTTTCCCTGTCCTGTCGTAGCCAGCAGAGAATGAAGCACCACAGATTCTCTCGTAACTAGAGGAAATCTGCAATGTGTCCCTTTGTGGGTATCTCACTTTGGTCCTCAGAGTGGCCCTAAAACGGAGTATTCTGACTGCAAACACTTTGTTCCTGGGAAAAGCTTTGTCTCCAGGGATGCTCGTCTCAGTACTGCTGCAGGACCAGCTGTGGGGTGGTTGAAGGTGAGCACAAGGACATCTGATTTTTATTCATTCCCAAATGAGGTTATACAGGGCTCCCTTGCTTCACACTTCTCATGGAGAAGGTGACTTTACCTACTGTCTGATTTATGTCTGCAGCACTGACACCCTGGTTTGGCCTTCAGAAGAGTTACACGACCACTGAGAACGCCACCAGGTGATTCCCAGGCCACCCCATATCTCAGGGAGTATCCCCACCTGGTTTCTTTCCAACTAATACATCGCAAACACATAATGTTAATTAAGCCATACCGTACCTCCAGCTGTTTGGATCTTGCTGTGTTTATTTCCTTCTAATCTTAATCAGAAAACAAAAGGTAAAGATGGTTAAAACATTGTAACATATAGCCAGTTTAGAACATGGTTTAACAAAGCATGCAACAGAGGTACTACTGTTCCAAAGACAAATACTATTATTATGGTAAATAGTGTTATTTTTCTTCATTTGTTTGTTTTGCAGCACAGTTTGGAAGCTCCAGTCAGTGACTTAGCTCTGTGGTGTACGTAAGTGACAGCAGCATTTTGTTGTATTAAATCTGAAAAATATTACATGATTTCATAAATATGTTTATGACTAGTCCTTAAGTACCTAAAAACCGAATGTTTTTCCCACTGTTAAAAAACATAACATGGAAAAGAAACAGTTTGCACTGGGTTTCATATAAGAACAGAAATAAACCTGAAAGCAAGCACTTACTAACTGTTATTACTGGAATTCACCACAATGCAAGTAAACACCTCCAAATCTAAAAATACTGCCAAGGCTCTGCAAGTGCATATATCATAGCCTCTTCATCCTAAAAGGGTTTTGTTTTCCTTGAATTCTCACACCACTCAGAGCATGAAGAAGCTGTTCAGAAGACAATGTACTACCCTGGCAGCATCTGCTCTATGATCCTTCCACAAAAGTAGGTGTGTTAGAACTTAAATAAATGGGAGCAATCATTTGACGATTATAAATAGCCTCACAGCCTCAAGAGGGACCAAGGCTGGTCAGTCTGTCTGAAGTAATCATTGATTTTTAAAGGATAAATACATCTTGCTAGATAAAATTAAACTGAGAAAACAGGAGAAATACAATACATAACCTCCCGATACCTTTCGGTGCAGCTTTTGTCTGACTGGAAACTATGGCAGCCGCATCTGATGGCAGACCAACATACACACCACCGTAGTTCCTGATTTGAGGGAAAAAAAAATTAAAAGACAACAGAGCTTAATTGGAACACTTCTTCCTATAACATCAATGTCATGCAACGGCATTACAAAAACCATGCACGGTCAGAGTGGATTCACCTCTGCACTAGCATCCTTGGAAGAGCCCTCCTTTCACACAGCTATGGGGAAAAAAACTCCTGAGGCTGGCTGTTACTCACAAGTGGGACCTAGGGCTGTGAAATGAGTATTTCATTCAAGTTCCTAATATTTTTCATTAAATCACACCTATCTTGTGACAATAAGCCCCACCTGCACAGCTTCTCCTAGACACCAATTTCCAGCAGACAGTCTGATAGCACTGCCCCAATACCGAGACCGCTGAAGCACGTCGCTTCAGCCAACACACACCAATTAAACAACACTTTCACCTCTCCTCATAAATAAATAGGATCTGCATCTCCCTCCTTGGGGCCACACCTGGAGGAGACTGTTAGTAGAAACAAATGTAGTAGTATGTGGTATTTTAATAGCCCAATCCTCTCCCTCTCACAACCTTACAGAGTGTACTTTCTGGCTCTGAGACCTTCAAAAAGAATGGACTGACATGAGGGGGTGGAAAATGGGGTACTTAAGAATTTCTGCTGTGCCTAGAGCTACCTACAGAGTAACTGCTCTGACCTATTAGGTACTAAATGAAACACATCCCTGGGGATCTGAGTTGATTTCTGATTTGTTTGATGATGGAGTCACACTCCCTTCAATTTCTAGCTGAGCGGAGATCTCCCACAGGTGCTAATGCCATCTGTGGCAGGGCTGGTGGGAAGGCAGAGGTCACTGGACATTATGAACCAGATAATCTACAACTGTGAGATAATGTGCTCATCTTATTGCAAAGCTCCCTCCCCCAACACAACGGGGTGAAGCATGATCATCAATTTGGGGTTCTACATGAGATTTCCTACTCTTTTCTTTGCTCTGTTGACATCGGTGGGGCTTAGAAGGAAAGGAAGGATGTACAGCCAGCAGCAAAACTCAGTGCAGCCAATTCCAAATTAAGCCAGTACAGGACCTACCTCCTTTTGTCATCATCTGATACAGATTCTTCTGCTCTGTAACACCAAAAGATATAGAGCACATTAGCAAACAGTTTCTTTCAGATACTCTGTCACCATCTGGGTAGATTCAGGGGCAAAGGAAGAAGGGGATTAATAGTGTCCCAGCTTAATTCAGATCATCCACAGTTCAATAAAGTATTCACAAAGGAGAGGAAAAAAAAAAAAAAAAAAAAAAAAAAAGAGTGACAATTTTCCAATCTGTTGTATGTGAGAAAGAAAAGGATTGAGAACAGATGCAGCTTACTTTCCACAGCTCCCTCCAGTGATGCCTGAAAGTAGGCTTGGGAGCTGAAAGCTGGTAGATTACATCTTTCCCGAGTGAAAGGATGTTGTTCCCAACATTGTTCCATGTATAACAGCAACATAAAGGCTCCATGTGTAACAGAAACAAGCCTGGGCTGTTCTTCCACCAACAGAGGACTGAAAGGGACTGGCCATCCATGCTGGCATGGGAATGAGGATGAAGAAAGAGAAACTTTCACAGCAGCTGTGCCAAAATGTGCTACAGAACCTCTATGTTAAGTGAGGTACTGCTACTAGTGAAGTCAGAGATGTTTGCAAACCAAACTGTTACTAATCCTTCATAACGGACAATTACTTCTCTTCTACCCTTAGATTAAAATGAATAGGCAGTCACTAAGGTTTGACTCCCCCTGCTTGAAATACTGTCCAGTGTAGCTGAATCAGGACAGGGGGTAATCAGCACTGATATGAAGGCACATGTGGTAAAAAGATAAAAATGGTATTGTTACTGTCCGTGGGTATAGTGCCTGTGCTGTGCTCTCAGTCTGTGCCCCAGCATCAGCCTTCATCCAAACCACTCACCCGCCTTTGATTAAATATTTGGACTTTGAGCTCTGCTGCATGCATGGCTGGGTATGGATCTGGGCAGCTGCTGCACTTTAGCTTGACTTGCAACCTACCAACCTAGCAATAAAAATAGAGGCAAAGTAACTTGAGTGCTGACAAATCCACGGACATCCTGCACTCCTTCCTTACAGCAGGGGTAATGGTGACACCTGCCCAACCTTACTGCAGCTGTGGCTGCAGCAGGGGAAGGCTGCAAACAGGGAAGGGAGCACCATGACACAAGGAGGGCTCTGCTGTGCAAATGCTCGTGCACAGGTTGTTCACCTGGATACTGCCACCTGGATATCCCCAGCTAGGGACCATGAACTATGTGGGCAATGAAAAGATGCTCCCCATCATCAGCTGAGCCATGAATTTCTGGTTTGCCCCCCATGCAACAAAACTGAGAGCTGGCCTCTACCCAGCCTTAGGGCTAAATCTATATTGTAGCTGTGAAAGGTTTCGCTGAACGATGACATTGAACAATAACACATGACATTTCTTATTGTAATTTATTTGTTCTGAAAGGTACATGTGCCTAGTGTTTAATAATCAGGGCTGTATGCCAGTACTGACCCCTGAAGTCAAGGGGGCATTTGGCCAAAGTGTCGAGAACTGGTAGAATGACACAGCCTTAAATGCAGGGAGATGGCCCTTAGACCTCAGTCAGAAATCTCGGTTTGGAGGAACAAGTGCTATCTCAGAAGGCATTGCCCATCCCCTCTGCCACCACGTGGCCTCAGTCACTCAGCCCTCTTGTACGAAGCAGGAGAGAAAAAAGTGCAGAGTCCCCTTTCCTTGAGGGTTGCAAAGATGCTTTATCCTAGTATGGGCCAGTTTCAGCAGAAGAAAGAGGAAAGAATGTGTATATCAATGGGTAGGAATGAGATGTATATTTTTAGTAAAAAAAATAATAAAAAAATGACAGCACTTTAAGAAAGGGACCCTGGGTGACAGAAGATCACAAACAATCATTTCTGTTGAACCAACCAAACGTGTCACAGGATTGATTTTCTCATACAACTGGAAACATTTTCTATAATCCAGATTAACCATTATCCAGAGAAAAGAATCCTTTAAAAGCACTGACAACTTCATGAACAGCTCGAAGCCACTAAAATGGAGTTGTAAGAATAATAATCAATATTGTCCAACAGGAAATTAATGTCAATGTTTAAAAAAGCCTCTACTAGGCAACAGGACTATTTTGTTCTGTTCTAGCAATGTTCTATAATGGGGCATCACTGGACCATTACTGTCATTCTCTCACCAAAACAAATTATCCAGGTCTATGATTAAGTAGGCTAGTTTTTTTTTAAAACATTTTGCTTTCCTCCTTAATAGCTACAAATCAAAGTCTAATTTTACGATCCCTTTTCCCTTAAATGCTCAGTAGCAAATAGTCTGGGATTGAGCAGGCCACAGCTCTTGGGCTGAGTTATGACTGGGTGCAATCGGTCATACTGCTGCTGGGAAAGAAAGGGTGAACAGAGAGGAGGAATGTGGAAGCTTCAGAGGAAAAGAACAAAAAATTCTGGTGGTGACACTGGAGGAAGAAGCCATTTTCCACCTTTCTGAGGACTCATTTCTAAGCAGCAGGGGAAAGAGAGCTGCTCCAACATATACATTATGCATTTTTGCACATCTCTTGCCTTCACACACTGTGGTCTGTAGTTTAAGGCACCATTTTGAGAATGTTCAAATTTCAAGGTGCCACCTGAGGCAGATGAACCACTGCTGCTTCCATGCTCACGCTGAATGAACAGAGGTGGCCCCAGGGAGCTGCACCACAATGGTGACACTTGGCTGTGTGGAAATGAGAATGGAAGGAAGCTCCTTTGGTTTGGGCAGTGTTCTGATCGCCACGTCTCCCAGACTCACAGAGGATGCAGGATTTCAGCACAAGCTCTCTTTCTCTCTCCCATGACCTGTCCCTCTAGTGAGTCTCTAGTTTCCTCTTATCTTAGGGAAGAAAGGACAAAATATAAATTTTAAATATCTCACTTTGCATCAAAGAGCCTCCACTTACAGTGTTCTCCAGGAAAAGCAAGCTATGATAAGCCTTTCTGCCCCAGGAATGGATGGCAAAAGGAACTGAACAGGCTGGACCAGACAGCCTGATGTGCTTTGCACTAATCTGCTGCAGTGTCACTGCATCTGCTCTCAGATGCTGTTGACATCTACTGCAAAGGAACTGAGATCACATTTTTCAGCAGGTGGCGTAGGTGGAGTCCTGTAGCTGGTAGGCAGATTTAACAGCAAATCCCTATAACAGCATCTATTTTCAGCTAGAAGAAATGTTTCTTTTGGTAAGGATTTGTCTGTCCCAGGAGGGCTCCTGTCACCCTCTTAAGTTTGGAAAATATTCTTAGTCCTCCAGCTGTCAGTTTTTGCATCCATCAGTCCTATGCCCATTTGATGGCAAAAAAGCTGCCATTTTTCACGTAATCTTTTAAGTATCAAATGACAGGCATTCACATTAATTTACTCCATCCACATTTTTCTTATCTCAGTTTTTATGACTTCATTCGTGTTGAACTCTGGCATTTTACAGGCTCCTTCTAGCAGTGCTCCGTAGTCCTGCCAGAAATATTTCATTAAACTTTGCACAAGCAACAGATTTCGTCACCTTAGTTTCACAGTCTTTCTTGGGACCAAGGGACTGTCGTTTATATTTGATGGATTTCTTCCCAATATTTTGAAACAGTTTTGAATTGTGTCCTTTCCTTCCTACTGCTATTAATCTTCCAAACCCAGGCACAGTCTGAATACTATAGGCATTGCGTTAGTCTGTAGTATATACTTTATCCCTCTTATAGCCAAACTTTCCCAGTTACCACAATGTACTTGTTTTAGTACATCAGTTGGCTGAAGCTGGGTGACAGGTTCACCAGTTATTTGAAGGCTGGAATATGCGGGAAGAGATCACATTCCCAGATCATACGTCCTTTTCGTCATTGCTCAGACCTCAACTTCAGAGCACTTTGCATAGGGAGACTGTACCACCATTGCCAGTTTACTAGTGGAGCAACTAAAGACTCAGAGGGCAAAAAAAGCTTCTCTGTGGTTACCTGGGAGGGCTCTGAGCAGGATCCAGCCCTCCCTCAATCCACCTGGCTCCTGGAGTTGCAATGAGTCGCCATCAGGAAACAAGAAATCTTTTGAATTAGAATAACTGGATCCTGTACTGAAGAGTATGATGCAAGTGAACACACAATCACTTTTTTCAACCACAGCCAATATGACTAAAATAGCTTTTTTCTGGTATTTTACTTCCTTTTTAAAAATCTGCTGCTAAATATTAGGATGATTGATCTAGGGATTTTCTGGTCATCACTGCTGTTTCTCCCTCATTAGAAACACAGATCTGTTAGTGTCTGACTAGAAGGCTCAATCATGCTATTACTCACCCGGGTTGTTCGGCTGGCTCCACTGTACTTATCAGAATGAGTAATGGTTCCAGGACTGACCCCTTCCCTTGTTGAAGTCTGCACTAGTAATTAGTTTTTTCTAAGCTATCTTGATACTTTTCTGAAACATGACAGAGGATCTATCGCTAATAAGTAGTATTTTCCCAGCTTAAGTCTTGAAGTGCCAGCCCTACAAACACTTATGCACACAGTAACACAGTTCTTCATGTGCTGACACATTCAGGCACAGAAACATACCTACCACATTCTTAATTGAACAGTGCTTGTGATTTTGAAGTTTAAAACTACCAAAAAGCAAAGAAGCAGATGCAGTTCTAAATCAGTCACTTAAATTATCTCTATTGCCCGGAAAACATAAGAACCTAATATAAATTGAAAAGAGTGGTTTTGTTTATCTAAGGGTACTGAGGGCATGGGTGCTGCAGGCTATCAAGAGGAGGTTCCTCATAAGCTTGCCTTCTGTAATTTATTTATTGTCTGAGACTGCAAATCCAGAAAACAGATTACATGGGTAATAGATCTCAAGAGTATCTGTGACAACACGACTCATCCGCCAAGCAAGACCTGTCTTTAGTTCTCAGCCGTGCTCTGTAATAGCAAGGACAAACCTGTTGTTATGCTCTTCTCTCCCCACGTTTATCTGACTTGACAGCCCTTCTTTCTGCTCCAGGATTCTTCCGACTAATTAAGAGTAGTTACTTTAAATGAAGTAAATAAAACTGAAGAACGTCCCTATTGCATAATATGAAAATATTTACCCAGTCCCTCAGGCTCAAATAACAATTATATGAAAAGAAGGCAAGGCCTCGGGATGACTTCTTTAATGTTTCCTTTGATAGGGAAATAGATTTATGGCTGAATAAAGCTGTTCCTGCAAATTTTTGCACCAGCAAATGAAAAATGAGTTGACAAAGGCTGATCTTTTGTTGCTGTTTTTCTGTAAACCACAAGTTGGTGAGAGGCAGCAGGACAACAGAGGTTCAGGCCTTCCACATTTGGAGAAAAACAGGATGGGTAGGGCTGCCCGCTGCTCCTCAGCATCAAAGATAAGGGACAGAAAAAGGAGCAGACAGATAATATCTTCAATGTGGAAAAGGTAAGGGTCATAACCTTCACTAGCTAAAGATCTCATCTGCAGCTAAATAGAGAAGGTTGGTGTTTTCTAAAGGAAGTCTGGATGGGTTACCAGGTCTCTGGCAAAGAGGGGAATTTTGCTTGAGTGGCTCATTAAATCTCTCACAGGGCTTGGTGGAAATTTATGTGGTCACTTCATACAATAGCATGCCCTTTGGAGAAAGCTGTGCTAGTATATGACAGGGAAGAATAATTTGAAGTAAACATGACCACCTCTGGAAGACAACTCTCAACAGAGGCTAAGAAAAGACATTTCTGCTAGAGAAATAAAAGGGGAAGGAATTTGCAGAATAGTAAACAAGACATGAGGTTGTTTTGAGGAAGCTGTCACTAAAGACAATAAGCATCTGGTGCTGTTAATTACATATCAGGAGCCAGATGAATCATTACAATGACTAAATCCAGTATAGGGCTAGTAGGACTGAAGATAAGTCCATGGTTACATATTTGAAAAGGTAACGCAAGTACTTACACATCTTTAGTAGTCCCTGTGGCACCTAGAATGGAAAAAAAAAAAGCGTATGTTTACAAGATAATGGCATAATCCTGAAACAAACTGATAGTACAGTAAATGTTTTTCTGCCTTTCTGTCCTAAAAAACTTCCTTACATGCACTGTAAAAAAGAGGCAGACATAGCAACAGGCATCTTCTATTGTCAGAGAACAGATTTCTCATGATTATCTAGTTTATCCTTAATGATTATCTGTATTAGCCCTTAAGTCTGTCATACTTAGACCTGGGCCAGATTCTCAGAGGGTGAAATGATGGTGCTGTGGACCAGTGTCCAGCTGCAGTCACTCAGGATGAGAGCAACATAAGATAACATTCATCTTCCTGAATTTTTTTATGCTTCACTTTGCCCAGTCCTCTGGTGGTTTTGTCTGTTACAAACTGGCCGCAGCTAACCAAGCAGTTACTCCCAAATGCCTGTTAATTTTGTCCACATGCCATTTGATCCAGTTGTAGATTTGGCACTATGTGTGTAAACGCTGCTCCATTCTTCCTGCCAGACAAACAATGTTTTATAAAACAACTAGACAGAAATAATATAAACATTGGGCCACCATCCATCCAAAGCCCCAGACATCTAAATAGATCAACCACCCCTTAATTCATCTTACTATTTAACAAAAAAAAAAAAAAAAAAAAGCAAAAAGACAAAAGCTACAATTAGGCTGCCTGATTTCAGTGATTGATTTTTTGGTGACTCAGATGCTTCTTGCTGGGAGAGGAACATGCACTCAAGTACGAACTCCTTCCTGTTCCTCCCAAGTTATTAATGACGCGTTGCTATTGCTGGTATGTTGTTCAGCTGAGTAACCAGCAAATTATCCCTTCTATTAATTACACAGGCTAGGGTAGACACTAGAGAACCTTTCACTTCTCTTCTTCCCTTTCCTCTCAGTATTTAGCTGGAAGAGACTATCTGAGCTCACTCTGAAGAAACTACAGTTGCCAATCTAAAAGATTTTTACAGGTTTAGAGATTTTTTTCTTCCAGTCATGGCATTTCATTTCTTGGAAAACTTTATTTTCACTGCTGAAAAATATCCATGAAGAGCAAACATCTTTCATCGCACTCTGATGTATGAGAATCAGAGGTCCCTGACCTGATTTTAAACCCAGGGAGGAAGAGACAATCCTGCAAGACCTTCCAGCAGTACCTACCTGAACGGACAGCTTGAATGGCAGGAAACTTCTCTTTATAACTAACTCTAGAGCGTAATTTAATTCCAAATTCCTTCTGCTTGACCATCCCTCCTTTTCCCATCAACAACATAGACTCGTCTTGCACGACCATAAACATTTCTTTTGTTAGCATTGAATCCAGAGTCTTCAAAATCTCAGTAGAGCTATATGTATCAAAAGTACTCTTCATTAAGCTGGAAGCACTGCGCATGATAAGCTCAGGTCTGAGCTCTCACACTTCATTCTGCCAGGCAGCCTTCTGAGACTTTTTGGCTCTAGAGGCACATCTACATGGTACTATCTATAAACCCTCCAAATTAATTGTGACCAGATGGATGGTTTGCATTGCAAACCTCAATCTCAGCTGACGTGGGAAGATGTCTTCTGCTACCCAGGCTAGTTCATTCAGAGTTAGCTCAGCTATGTATCTTCAGGGCACCACCCTGTACTTCCAGACAGAATCCAACCATCAGCAACAGCTCAGACAGCACACATATTGAAAAGCCTAGTCCTGTTGTTGTAGCTAGCAGGATTTAATTTTATTTTTTTTTTTTCACAAGAAATCATGCTTGTGTTCTGCATCAGAACCACAGTTTTTTCATTTTCTCGCTTCAACCTAAGCTCACTGCAAACAAACTCGATTTCTACAAAGAGGTTCGCAGTCCTTTGTGAGGCCTCTGCTGAGCCTTTATTGAGTCTGAGCCAGGGCTCTCAGTACTTGGGTCTTGGTTTAAAAATTTTATAGCACCTTCTGTGCAGGAAGTATAGCAAAAGTGTTTGATATGCAAACGGAAACCTTAACTGGGCAGGAAGAACTGAATGTCTAGAGGACAGCTGCAATTCTGTATAGAGATAGTCATGTTTCAGTCAATTGCCAAACACACTTCAATGCCATGCCCTTGTTCAACGCCATGCCCACGTTCAGTGCGGTACCCATGTGCTAGGTGTGCTGCCCACAGCAAACTGCAGTACTCTGCATGGGAGCCAGCTCTGGACACAGGGCTGCACTTATCCTAAGACATCTACCTGCTAGGCAAACCTTACGAGCACGCTGGGACAGGAGCTGTCTCTCAGACCAATCAGCTTGGTCTTCATGTAGAGCCACGAGGCTGTGAATGTGTTTGAGAACAGAGGTGTGCCTCTAGCACTCTCACCTTGCAGCACTTGTTTCCTTTGACGTTAGGGGGGTGTACCACAGCAGAAATTCATTGCAACTTTTTGAAATGCACCTCACACAGAAACAGAATGAACTAACCACGATGAAAACAAAATCACTTTTTAAAAGATTGTTTTTATTGGCTTGTTTCCTATTGTTTTTATAAGCACAAAGAATTAGGTTATCCTCACTTCCATTGATGGGATTCCAATAGTGTTATTTCTCACTTTCACTAGCAACAGTGAAACAAGAACTTAGTCCAAATTCAGTTGGGTTCCACTGAAGTATCTGATATAGACCTGAAAGTGGTTCCAGTTCACAAAGCAGTTTTTTTTTGCTGGAAGTGCTATGAGCTTGGGAATGAACATTACCTCAGCTTGTAACTATCTCTACATAAAAACTAATAAGATTTCTTCATTAGGGAGAATACCCCTTATATTCAACTTTTTATTTTGTAACAGATCCAATAACATCACAGTTCATACAGACTTGTGTTTGTTTTTAAAGTCCAGCCCACTCACCCTCACTCCCGTTACTTCACTGATATGTTTCTCTAACTCTTCCATGTTTAGTAACCAACACATTATTTTATAGCTTCTCAAGTTCCTCCTGCCAGAAGTTCAGCAAAAGTACCTTACTTACTATTAGTTCCCAAACAGTGCATAGCTATTTCACAGCTGCAAGACATAGTGCTCTTGTAGTCATGATGTTATAAAAATATGACTTGAAAAATATTTGAAATATATTTCAAAAAATATTTTTGAAAGGCTATTCATTTTTCCAACTACATCAGTTTGGTCTAAAAAAAAAAAAAAGTAGCACTTGACCCCACAAACCTTGTCTAATAGATTCCTGCTGGTTTGGGCCCCCCAAGGCTGTTCCTGCAACACAGCTAATGGGTAAGCTCTGAGTAGAGGCAATAGCAGTGAAGAGAGCTGAACCCTCTCTGGTGTCCTGCTGGGAACACTGGGAACCTGAGGAATTGCAACAGGCACCACATTTCTTCCCTGGCAGAACTCTAAATGATAGAGCTGAACTCTGTAGACTGCCTAGCCTTATTCCACCCACTTCTCTAGCAACTTCCCAAGCCTATCTAATCACAGAAATAGACTGGGGGTAGCCAGAATAATAACTAATAAAGAAGTACTGAGTTCTCCTGAATGACCCTTCTGCTTATACATCTACCAGTAAGACCATGGATGCATTTTAGCACTTCACAGCTGCAGGAAAAGGAGGAGGAATACAGCCTGCAGAATAAACGAGGCACATTCAGACATTCATCACTCTGAACACGAGTGATTACAGGAGAAAAACATTCTGCCTAGAATGGTGGAGCTGGGATCCCTCACAAAACATAACGTTGAAACAGTCACAAAAGAAGGACAAATACATATCATCCCAACGCATCTTCCATTCGGTGAGAGGGGGTCCGCACTTTCAAAACAAAAGCAGCTTATTACTTGTAGCCCTGCAGAATTTCAGTAATTGCAGGACAAATGCAAAAATGTTTGAGAGGAACTGACTGCCACAAAGTATATTGTTCTACACTGAGGCATGCATCATGAGCAAATGTGGAAGACCAAAAAAAAATAATCAGAAAAACAGATGAAGGATGAGAGGCAACCATTTACATGAATAAAAACGTGGATGAAAAAACTGCCAGCATCTGGCTTGAGAGCAGACTATGAATGATTTTCTTATTAATTTCTAACAATTATTTTAAAACAATATTTTATTGCAAATACTCTAAATGGTAAAAAAAATCAAATTTAAAAAAAATAAAAAAAAAATTACATGTATACGTACACAACACAAGATTACAAATGAGTTTCCTATTGTTTTTTTCCCTTCTCATTGGCTCCAAAAAACAGCAACATAGAATCAAATCCTAACTTCCATGGAGTTATGCTAGATCTAGCTTGATGTAACTGAGGGTAGAATTAAATCAATGTACCTGAAATCGATTACTTCAACTCATCAGGTGGCAGTTTGATACACAGACATGACCTGATCAGACATTAATTTCAAAAATTGCTTTAAATAGAATGGCAGAGTGGTTTCCTGGGTATTCCACCAATCTGAAGTTAATAAGTCTGTATAAACTTGGTGTGAAAGTTCTCCTTCATTGTAATTTGGCAGTATTTTAAGCTTCCCACAGAGTAACAGCTTGTCTGTATATTTAAATCAAGGCTAGACTGCCAGCCTCCACTGAGTACCATAATTTAAGGCGCTGTCATTGCTACTACAATTGATATAGAAAGAAAGAGGCAGTTAAAAAATTGTTAGTGAAGCAACACTAGAATGGAGGGAAATGCCTTAGCCCAGAAAAGAAGGAAATTAATGTGTAAGGGCGTGCTTTTTTAAAGACCAGAAAAGAAGAGCTCCTTTGGAGCTTCTGAAACATCAGGAAATGACATGAAAGAAGGATATGTGAGGCAACAAAACACCAGGAAAATAGCAATTTGCTAACAAAATTGTTATGTGCTAATAAAAACTTTAATGGGATTTTTTCAAATAAATGTAATCCATAGTTAACATTTAAAACAGTGGATATAAGAAGGATGCATTTGCATCGGTTTGTTCACAAGTCACTGTTTCTCAGCTGAGGAGCCTTTAGGCCTCAAATCCTTTTGTCTGATGCTCTGGAAGGAAAAGCTGGAAAATTAGATTGGTATTCTGGAGTGCTGCACCACAGACAGAAATGCTATTCTAGATCATGTCTATTAGTTTAGGTCTTGCAGACCATAGGGCTGATAGCTCCTCTGATGTCAGTCCAGCCATGCAACAGAAGATAATATCATTAGCTGAACTATCATTATATACGTGTCTGTTTAGGAAAAATCTCGTCAGGCTAAAACAGAAATTTTACCAGAGGAAGGAACTGGGGAGTAGCCTAACCATGTCTACTCTGTTCTGTGAGGTATGCTATAATATTATCCTTAGTCATATAATATGACAGAGAGTGTTACAGGTTAATTATATGTTATGCACCTCCAGCTTTGACATTACTGACTGTAGAATAGTCATAACTTCACCATTGAAGACGTAGTCATGCTGTGCAAGCCGCAAAACTAATTTGTATTCATGCTGTACTCATGTCTTTTGGTAAGATGTTGAGAGCTAGACTTTTCTTAAAAGCTCCAGAACTCGGACTAAAAATGGTACATCTTCTCCTTCCCCTACATAAAATTACTTTAGTTTTACAGACACGCTATGTAAGGAGTGCTAAACTGAAGAAAAAAATTAACTAGTAGATGGTGAACTTAATTCTACTACCAGATGTTGGTGACTGCACGGCACAGGCTGCGCAGCCATTCCTGACTTACCCTGGTGAAACTGGGAACAGACCTGGACCTCCCAGAGCTATATTTGCTTTGGAAAGGTCTGTCAGTGTAACAGTAATAATTACATTATACTGATTGTGGATTTTACACGGCATTGTTATTTTAGCCTATTCTAAGCTACTGGAGATCTGTGGGCTATTTCTACAGAGTATGCAAGAGCTTGCCATGAAATGCAAGCTGAAGTATTTCGTGAGTAACAGCACAGGCAAGCTAAACTACTGAAGGGGCTGTGCTATCACTGAAAATCTTTTAAGAAGTCAACACCTGTTGAAAATAGCTGCCTTTAAAGCAACTGCAGACACGTTTATTTAAACCAACAAACTTTTAGCTCAAAGTAACTCACGAAACACCACCACGGTCAGAGTTGGCTTATTCAGCATTCACCTGTTGGTGCCCTGTTAGGAGCGTTATGCGGTGGCCAGGCCAACGGTGCTGGAGACGCTACCACAAAGTGACTAATAACCAGCCCAAAATGAGTATTTTCCTTTGAGCTGCTCTGACAGTTGCTCTGGTGCTTTTACCCAGCAGACAAACCCGGGATGTGAACGAGCATCGTCCCAGCTATGAAGCTACAGTGGACAAGCAGGGAAACAACTTCAGGTCGTGGCAATGCAGGAACCAATTAGCAGGAGAGAAGTCATGCATTTGCAGATGTGACAGCCCTGACAAGAGTGCTGGAAGGTCAAGCCTCAAGAGAGGCTCCCGATACATACGTGATACCTCATTTATAAGCATTTAACAGCAGCCAAGTAAATAAAAAGAGCAGAAAAGCCTCCCGCTGCGAGCACAAAGCGCAGGGTTCAGGGAGACCAGCAGCACACTGCACAAGCCTGCAACTTGCAGGAGTCACTGCTGTTCACGCTCAGAGACGTGCCGGTGCCGCACATCAGCCCTAGCATCACCCAAGGCACACCTCAAAGCAAGTCACCGCAGCAGGAGGCTGAGCCCCAGCAGGTCTCCCTGGCCTGGCCGCTATTTGGCTGTGCATTGTCAGGAGGTTACGGATTTAATAAATACAGCTGAAAGACTTAAGACAAGGAATGTAATTAGGCAGCCCTGTTCGCCAGGTGCAGTCAGGATGAAAAACGAGTTATAAATGCTCGTAGTTGTAATTAGACGGCGTATGGCCGCTATTATTTCCATACATTTCCCCTTCTGCGGGGGCAGGACGAAGAGCCGCGCCGCCGGCCCAGCTCTCCCCTCCCTTTCAGGCGGGGGGGAAGGAGCGGGGCCGGCCGGAGGGGCACCCCCACCCCGACGTGCACAAAACCTGGGGCTCGCCACGTCCCCGACCCCTCGGGCGGGCAGAGGGGGCACGAAGCCACTTCCCAAGGGGCACAAGTGGCCTCACAGGGAACCAAAGGGGGAACGAGGCTGGCACCCCCGGATCCTCCCGGTCGCGGCGCTGACCCTAAAACCCGCGATGCCCCCGGCGGGGCACACCGCCCCCATCCCCGGGGGGAGGCGGATGGCTGGCGGCAGGGCAGGATGCTCCCGGCCGGGGCAGCCCCCACCCCACAGCCGGCTCGGGGGGCGCCTTCCCCGCCCGTCCCCGGCCCCCCCGACCCCCGTGCCGCCCCCCTACCTCGCCCGCCCGTGCCGCCGGCCGTGGAGTTGCCGCAGCCCATGGGCGCCGCCCGGAGCGGTGCGGAGCGGAGCGGTGCGGAGCTGAGCGGCGACGGGAGGCAGCCGGCGGCGGGCGGAGCCGGGGGGGAGATAAAGCCGCGGGGACCCCTCCTTCTCCTCCTCCTCCTCCTCCTCTTCTCCTCCTCCTCCTCTCCTCCTCCTCCTCTCCCCACCCATCGCCCGGGAAACCGCCGGCCCCTGCACCGCGCATCCCCGAGGAAACCCCCCCCTCCCGCACCCACCGGCCGGCCCCGCGTCCCCCCGAGGCTCCCAAACCTCGGTTTCGGTTCCCCACAAGGGTGCGGGGACCCCGAGGGATCCCCCCCCCACGAGTGCACCGAGCGGGGGGCTCAGCGACGGCCGCCCCTGGGGCCCCCCGGTGGGCTGAGACCCCACTGCCCTCGGGGGCAACTTCACGCAGGTGTCCGCCGGTTCCTCTCGGAGCTCCTCTTGGAATCAGAGAATCATTGAGGTTGGAAGAGACCTTCAAGATCATCTGGTCTTCCTACAGAAACGCCCCACTGACCCCGGAGACACACAGGGTTGGTAGAGCTACGGATTCGCCTTTCCCGATTCATGCCAAGAGCACAGAGAAGATGAGTTTGCAATGTCCACAAAGAAGCTTTTTTATTTATAATGTACATTGTTCCTCCCAAAGAGTTCGAAGTTCCTCCTAACCCAGACCTTTCTTCCACACAAAGCACTAAAACATTTCCAAGCCTTGCTCAGGTACTCTTGCTCACAATTTCCAAATGACTGGACAGCCAAAACCCAATGGTTACAACCACAAATACTCATGCTAGACAAACATGACTGCTCTGATAAATGTGTTTAAGGACATAGAAAAAAAAAAAAAAAAAAACTCTTAGGAGTGCCATATCAATGCCACAAGCATCACAAATTTCTTATGAACAATAACTGTCTTTATTACAAGAGAATCAGATAGCAAACATTGTTGTTTTATCTTTTAGCCTGTTCAGAGCAGAGAAAGAAAGACATCACAATTTTCTTTTGTATTTCCCAACAAGCACATTAAGAACAAGCAGCTCCATACACAACAGAGTCAATAATGTCGAGTCTCCTGCAGATTTATGCCCTGGGGTCTCTTCATGAGCTCCCTCGTGTCTACCCAGCATTGAGCACACCTTGGAGCAGGGTGGGCATTTTAAGTTCTCCCTCCCCTGGCTGGCCACCTACTTCCATCACATCTGCAGAAACTCAGCATCTTCAAGGTCTTTGCCTGTCCCTCCTGATAAAATGAAATTGAACAATCGGTTCAAAATTTAATAAGGCAGAGCTGATGGGCACATGTGCACAGCCATACCACTCCTTCACCACCAGGAGCCCCAGGCACACAGGCATAGATTTTGCTTCAGCAAGAATCTCCCAAAGGCACATGCATTTGATGGCCAATTTTCTGAAAATCACATAGAAATACAAATTCTCAGGCTGAGCTTTCAAGTGCCAAGCATCAGCCCAAAGTGCATTTTTATGGCAAAGTTAAGAAGGAAGAAAGGGTCCTATGAAAAGCAGGGCTGAAAGACATGCTACTTCAGATCCTGTGTGGTTTTCTAATATGAAAACAAAAGATCTCGTCAACCCACATTGACCATAAACTTGCCACTGTGGAATAAGCTATGAGCATGGTTTTAATACTTAATTTTACCTGAGGGGAAGCAGTTGTGGTGAGCACAGCAGCCAAGCCATCTCCTCACATATGAGAAGAGGTGGCTTGGAGGCAGAAATCCCCTGAAGATGCCTTCACACTGAGCTGTTGGCCACAAGGAGAAGATATGAGTCTGAATAAGAAACCCATGGTTCAAAGAGAACAGAAGGACACTGCATCATCCTTCTAAGCACTTCCACTTGTCTTACAAGTTCAGTCTACCAAACAGAACATGAGGGACCTATGTGCACAAATTAAGGGGTGCACATTGAGTCCAATAGGGCAAGGCACTTCCAGCATACCCACCCAAAGCCAGAGCTAACAGCATTACCAGGAGACTTAGGAGAAAGGCAGTGTGATACGTTTCTGTATGTACTGTCCGGAACTGCTAGGAGCCAGCCCTTCCTGAACCTCTTAAAAGAAGGGCCCTCAGGCAAACTTTGTCTCTTGGCAGCTGCATTGTAGGCGTCTCCTCTTTCAATTGAGAAGACACACTTTCGTTTCAACTTCACCCGTGCTTTGCACAAGTTATTTCACATTATTTCTGAAAATCAGAATGCTTTCTGAAAAGCAAAATGCAGTCACATAAGCAAGTTTATCAAGTGAATGCTTTGCGTTAAAGACCAGTGCTTTCCCTCCATCAGTGAGCTCCTGGCACCTGCCATCACTCACCCTGTGTACTCCATCACCTCTGAGGAAGACTGGGAGGAGTATGGATAGGAACTTCTGTGAGAAAGCACTGTGTTATTTTTTCCCTAAATCAACCTAAAATTTATGCAGTTGGAAGAGCAGGTTAGTTATCAGGGATTATCCAAATCTGAACTTCTGGTGATTTTCTCTTTTTGAACACTTTTGTTAGCCTGAGTGTTGACATCCAAACAATCTATTTCTGTCTGTCAAGCTTTAGTTACTTTTGGGTGTTAGCAAACACCCCTTATTTATACGAGAATGTATATTTTGCTGAATTATTTTTATCTAATAATCCATATAAAAACCTTATTCATCCATGTTTTTTTTTTTTCTAACAAAATACATGCTTCCAAAGGTTTGTATCTCAGCTCACACAAGTAGAGAAAAATAATAGTGCTAATACCATCTTCTAGGTATTCTCTTCTGAATAATATCTTTTAGATATAGAAGCTCTAAAAACCACAAGTGTCCTGAATAAATAAATAAATAAATAATCACCATTAGTATTTTCACCATAGTATTTTTTTTTCAAAACAAATTTACAACAGGAGTTTAATTTAGACAAAACTTTCCCACTTCAAGCACTGCACTACAAAACATTTATCAGAGTTAAATAATGGAAAAGTTCTGGTGGATTCTCACTTCCAGTGTTTTCAGGTTGAATGAAATTCCAGTGCTTTCATGTTACTGAGTATTATGTTTCTTCCTGGACAGTTTTATAGTCTTCCTACAGTGCTGCTGTTTTATAGCTAGCAACCTTGGTTAATAGTTTTCACTGCCTTGTTCAAATATCGTGATGCTGCATAGATGGCGACTGTGATCATTTAGTCACGGAAGGTCAGCCAGTTACAGCCCATTTTCCCAGTAAACCTACAGGGATGATTCCGTTTTAAAAAATCATTAGCCCAAGCCTACCATGAACAAAAGCTTTCTTGGGTCAGCTTGGGGTTTGCTTTTACATGTCAGTGGACAAACATCAGTGCGTCAATACTTTCAAATGAAAAAAAAAAAATCAATTATCATCACTGATATAAGTAAAAAAGAACTAATAATTAAAAAAAAAAAAATCACAACCTTATTAGTAAAAGCTATCATGATTCCACAACCATTCAGAGTGTCTATTTAAATGGCAGAGGTTAAGAATTGGTTAATGGTTAAGAATGTATACAGAGATCTCTACATTGCTGTGAACATTTTCAGAAAACCTCTTCTCTTCTCCCCTTCCCTCCCCTTTTCTTCCCTCCCCTCTTCTTCCCTCTCCTCTTCTTCCCTCTCCTCCCCTTTCTTCTCTTCTCTTCTTAACAAGTGTTAACAACTTTGTTCCGGAGAACAGAAGCCAAATGACATAACAAAATCCGTAAGTTACCAAAAGGAAAATTCTCAGTTCCCCAAAGATCAACCTTGCTTAGGACCCCCCCTCTGATAGTGGCTGAAAGAACAGAGGAAACTCGTATGATACATCCCCCCTCAAAAAACTCCCCCATTTAACAGCATTTGCGGTTCAGATCCTTCCTGAGGCAAATGTGGTTTCTATATATTTAGCAACCCTTAACAAATTTTTCTTCTGTGAACCTGTCCCACCTGCCCTTAAGCCCTTGGCAGCCAAAAGCATCCCACTTTCCACTTCTCAGCCACATCTGGTCTGAAGAACCTCCTTCTGTTTGCCTCAAGCACAACTCTTGTCCACTTCAACTGCTGATTGTTCCTTGTATCAGAATAAACACTGATGAAACAATCCTCCTGCCTGAGCCATTCAGGATTTTTGTTCTTCGCAGCAGAATAAGCAGCAAGGAAACAATCTGCCATTCACCGATGCCACTCATAACTTGTCACATCCCCTATACTAAACTGTAGTTAGCAGCAGTGATGGTAAGCTGTCATTTCCTGGCAGCTGTGTCAATAGGTAGTGAAAATACTTTGAAAGAGCTTATCTGTGAAAGGGTTTTCAAAAGGCAGTCTAGTGATTAAATTGTGCCAGTAACATCAAGCTTACATGTATACAGGGGACTCTGCTTGGAGGCAGCAGCCAAATTGCTGTGCCCACCATAGACTTACTCAATCTGTTCAGTGAGTCCTTCCTTGCACTCTGTGTTAGGAAGAAGAAAATGTGGACAAAGAGCTCCCTCTCAACTCACCACACCTTGCTTTTTCTGCCTGCCCAGGAGCCACACACTCAGCCTGGGGAAGCTGACTTCAGGAAAAAATCATTTAAGCTCTTCACTTTAAACAAAAAAGAGCATGTGTCAAGAACAAGGATTTTTTTTTTTCTTCATAAGGCAAGATATTCATTCATCTATCTGTCCCATCTTTCCTGGAAGTGACAAATAAAATTCTCATTATTGGGCCAAATCAGACACGGATTGGGACAGAATCAACAAAATCAATGAAAGTGTAGTGTTCTCCAAAACCTGGCAGAATTGAACAGAAATCCACTGGTCAGCCATGGAGAAGCACAAACATATCACTAAGTGAACAGTAAGCGTGGAAGAAATGTGAATACTCCATTAGCTAATATAGTGGCTTAAAAGAAAAATAAAAGAAAAAAAGAATAAAAAAGAAACAACAACAAACTTGAACTGACAGAATCAAAGTAATTCATTTCGTAATAATACTTCTTGAATGTGATTATTGTGAATAGTCATGAAAATCTGCTTGTTTTTTAAAGCTAACAGTCCAGAGCATATGACTCTTAGCTGATTCACAAGGTAGAAATGGAGTCCAAGAGTCAAATTTTCAAAGGCAACTTCATGAAGAAGTAAGCCGTAATTCAACACCAGTATCTTCACATGAGTGCCACATCTTTTCCTAAAAATGTCTTGATTTTAGCACACAGACTTGCACAGAGCCTTTGAAGAAATTGCTCCCAAGCTCAGTTATTACCCACTCCCTGCAAGATTTCTCTTTTAGAGTCATAGGGATCATTCAGTTTTGGGCCCTATGCCCACATTTTCTCCAAGTTCATGGGAACTTTGTAGGAGTCAGGATCACTGTATCCAGCACAAAGGTGATTTAGAAGGTATGTTTCATCAGTCTCCATAAACAGCTGCATTCATATTAGTGGCAGTGAAATGCAGTTCTAACATCTGCAGCACGTTCAGGCCTAGGAAAGGGAATTAGCAGATTTCAAAACACAGTCACATTTCAGCCATCAGAGTCCTCTCTGCAACAGACAGAGGAAAATAAGAAAATGTCCACCACAGAGATCTTTACGGGAATGCAATTCTGACTGCCCATGTTTCATTTCTTCAGAGTCACGGTTTGGTAACAACCCCACCTTTTCCCTTTGCAGAAACAAATAGAGGGCCCCAGTGACCTTCAATTAATACATTTCTAAATTCATGGAAAAATTTTCCTTAATTCCCTTCCTTCACATTTGAAAAAGATGCTTGGTTTAGTGCTGGTGCAGTTGTTGCTGCAATCCAAGGTAGGTGCCCTTGAATATAACAGATGGACAAATGCTTACATTGTGTATTCAGAAACAGTTTGGCATCCTTTCTGTGCCCAAAAGGTTCATATACGTGCTATATTAGATCCTTCTATTAAAAGTCTTATTAAAAAAAAAAAACAGGAGATGCATAACAGTGCTTCTTACCTCCGAGGTCACTCAACTTTCATTTTACTGTCTCCGATAACAACCAGACTCCCAAAGCTCTGTTCTGGAGGAGAAAAGCATCTTACTCAGTTCTTTTAATATGATATGCAGACAGAGTGATCTCTTTCTTCTGTCTCTCACTACATAAATTAATTTGCAAGATGCATCTAAATCAGCTTTTACAAACAAAGAAGGGATCAGAAAAATGAAAAGATTAAAAAATGGAAAAAGGCTGGAGAAAAGAACATTATACTGACATGTCATTGAGATGCCAGTGCAGCCGAGCATCCCTTCTAAATTCCCTGTCTCAAAAATGTATATGACAAAGGCAAGCTTCTCAGGAGATGCTCCCCTGCACAATATAATGGCCTGTCTTATAGAGTCCCAAACTTTATTTTCAGGAAAGATCCCTTTGCACACAAGGCTCTTATTTCCTCAGTATTACGGGAAAATGGTATCCCTGCTTTTATTTTATTTTCATTTTCAGGCATTTTTTCAGATGTAAATTCTTCCTCTGAAGAACTGTTGATATAGATTTCCATTACAGATTTCCACCTGCAGTAATTGGTTTTGCCATGTATTGCTAATGAAGCCAAATAGCACAGTTGTTACCTCTTTTTTTGTGTGCAGTGTACCTGGAGATTGTAGAAATGGGAGATACATCCTCAGGATGAAAAACGTCATTATCAAATTCACATATTTATGTCCCTCTGATTATTTAACATATTACATTTTGAAGACTTAGGCTAAAATTTGCTAGTATTTTTACAATTAATATATATAATTCATAGTGTCTATATATAATTCACACTGAGCAGGACTTTTGTAAATTGTCTGTGCCATTTTATTGAAAAAAAATGAACTTTGCTTCAGCAAATAGTTGCCACCTTAAAAAAGAGAGAACTATATTTCTATCAAAACTGCATCTCTTTCTATAAGTATGCATTTAGTACTAAAGGATGCTAATTATTTTGATTAATTGAAGTTGCTGTCATATTAGGCATATGGGAAACAGAAGTTATTCATACAATTAGCAACATGGAAGCAGCGTGTTAGCTTATTCAAAAAAGACACCCACGTAGGGCAATTATATTATTTTGCATTGACTGACAAAGAGCAAACGTATGTTTTTAACACTGAATTTTAATCAGAATGTGATTTTTGACAGACAAAATCTGAATAAATTTTAAGCGCTTAGAGGTTTTTGAATATATAATTTGAAATATTTATAAGAGCAAGGTATTTGTGCACACAAAATAAAATAAACTGTAGGCAATCACTGTGCAGATACATGATGTTCTCACAGAAGAGATCCTTTTAGCACCTACATAAAGGGGACAATGTCCTCTCATTTATAATAATAAAGATGAAGAAATTCACTCTTCTTCTGAGATGGTGTCAGCTTCTGGACCCACAAGCTGAGGTGAAGAGTAGAGAGAGACACAGAAAAAAACAGAGATAGGGAATCTCTCCATTAAACGTTTTATCTAGTTTCATTAATTTCAGGTTTAACAGCATAAGGAGGCAACACACCAAAACCCAAGACTAGCTGTTCCTCAAAATATTAAAACACTATATACCAATAAATATCACATAACACTGTATATCAATAAATATCAAAAACACTAGTATTTTGCTTACTGCTACTTGTATGTTTAAATCTGTTTAAAAAATCATGACTTAGGGCTCTGAAAATGCATGAGACTGCATAAACGTTACAAACTGAGCTTCAAGTAATTGCTGTGGAGATTTACTTCTTTGATTTCTGTGAGCATTTAGGTTTTGTGGCCTTACCTTTGCTCTTTCCTCCACGATAAGGAGGTGCAAAAAAATGCTTTTTGAGCAAAAATGAAATCTTGCTCGCCTCATAAGAAGCAGCTCTCGCTGCTTGGGGAATTACAGGCCTGGTAGCCCCACTCAGCAAGCCTGCCCAGAATGCTGCAAGAGTGAAACCACGCGTGCCGGCAGCACCAAACCAAACACACAGCAGTGTCACGAGATCTGGGTTCCAACCTAACGATAAACAGACAGCTTCTTTGAAACTAAGCCACTCAGTCTTGACTTAGTTTTAAGGTACTGAACATTGCTCCTTTTGGCAGCGCTGTGACACAGTGTAAATCAAACATAACATGACCTCGGGAGCTGTATGCACAAGCAGTTCCATCAAGCGAGGGCTGAAAAACTCTGCAGACTTTGTCATAGATTTCTTTCAAAGCCATTAAGTTTGTTTAAATGCTGATAAGAACATTTTCCATGACATTATTATTCCTGTTCTCCCAGTCCTAGTTTTGCATTGCTGTTCTGCTTGGGGCTTTTTTGGTTTTGCTATTTCATACAGGTTTGATTTCGGAGGGTGAAAAACTAATTAGGAACCATGAGTCCCTTCTAAGAAAACCTCATGTATATAATTAGGTCCCATTGACTCTGTCTGCTGTACATGTTGTCCACATGCTTCATGGTTTTCACAAAGAAAGATGCTTGATGACCTAGGATCTTGTCAGCACTTGTGTTTACAGAGTATTTAAAGACTTCAGTATTTAATGACTTATGTGGCTGTTGTACTAAATGTTCTGTTGTGTTTTTTTTTTTTTCTAAAAAGACAAAAAAAAAAAAAAAGAAAAAAAAGGAAAAAAAAAGAAAAAGGAAAGAAAAACAAGGATAAGGAATGTATTACCATAAACGAATTTGAAAGAGCTGGAAAACTATTCACTGATCTGGCCAACATTAATATGCCCAGTTAATCTCTAGGAATTTGACAGGCCAAACACAAGTTTCTGCATTTGAAGAATTGGATCTATGTAGCCAAGTACACAGGTAATATAAAGCATTACTATAGGTGTTGCAAAAAACCTAGCATGCACATATCATACAATAGAAAGAAAAAGGAAGGGCAGCTTCTCTGCTGCAAGGCAAATCCTGGAGTTGCTGTGAGGTGCTCAAGCAGCAGTGCACAGTGGACAGTTCACAGCCAGCAAGCTCCACGTGGCCTGGTGGGTTATCATCTTGCTTGGAGCTTGCTCACAGTGGCCTTTATCTCAGAAAAACTCTGTTAGTGCACTGAGCATGGTCTGCCAACAGAATTACTTTGCTCATAGCAGCAGCCTGGCCCTGCTGCCACCCTTCCTAGAGGCCACACTTTTACCCATGGTATAAGACCCTTGAATCTCCAACAAGAGCACCTAAGAGCTACAACGCTAGGAAAGGTAGCCACAATACATGGCTTGCAACTCTCTGCTCCCCTTGTACTGGCCTCCAAGAAAGAAGGCCACCAGCATGCCCGCATGACACTCCTGCAACCAGTGGCAATGCTGGAGAACCTCAGCACACTCTGCACAATACTCTCTTTCTGGCAAGCACTCCATTTACAACTGGAGGTCCACTCATACGAGGGGAAAGGGTTTCCAGTATTTGGCTTTCTCCAGGCAGCAGAAGAGCTTCTAAAGGGCTGTCACAGGAATAAAAATTGGAAAGTCTGACCTAGCAAAGCTGGCAGCACCCAAGCACTTTGGAAGAATACAGAGCTCAGTGAGACGATTCCTGTCATGCTAGACTGGGGGTGTCCAAACCCTCTGCCTGGGCAGCAAGGCAGCAATGCCTTTTCCTGCTCTCTCTGCACTTGCTTGTGTACACGTGTTCATGACACTGCCTTGGCAGCCTGCCTGAAAGAGTCACTCCCCTTCAGGAAATAAACAGATTGTGGTAACACTGCCCATTCAGGCGTTGCCTAGAGCTTCCTTGTTGCTTTCCGTCTCATCTTCTGTTTTTCTGCAAACACAAAATGACACCCTGTTGCACCACCATGCCACTGAATCACAGGATGGTTGTGGTCAGAAGGGACCTCTGGGGGCCATCTGGTCCAACCCCCTGCTCCAGCAGGGCCACCCAGAGCAGGCTGCCCAGGACCATGTCCAGGTGGCTTTTGAAGATCTCCTAGCAGGGAGACTCAACAGCCTCTCTGGGCAGCCTGTGCAGGTACTTTGTCACCACCACAGTGCTTCCTGATGCTCAGACACAACCTCCTGTGCTTGTCTGTACCCACTGCCTCTTGTCCTGGCACTGGGCGCTGACAAGAAGAGCCTGGCCCCAGCCTCTCTGTGCCCTCCCCTCAGGGATCTGCACACAGGGTTGTTTTTTTTTAGCTTAAGCAGAAAGTGAGAGGTGCCAAGGAAAGGTAAATTAAAGAGAGCAATGAAAGTTAAGACAATATGAAAGTTTCAGTTCTTTTGTTCAAAACAGAACACTGAGTGCAGGGCCTGGATGGTTCAGGTGGTCTCGAGATTAAAAACAAAAAAAAAGGCTGAAAGCTGGTTTTAGACACCGTGGCATTAGGCACATTTGTATGTGCTATTTATATTAATGTATTTTAAAGATGATAAAAGAAGGGCTCTAGGTCAGTGATTCCTCTGACACCCAGGTGACAGCCCTACCTGCGGAGCCAACCTGCATTTGCAACATGGTATTTTGGCCTTTAGTAACCTTTATAGCTAACAGATTAATCATTAGCATTTCATAAAACAATCATATGCCAGGCATCAGATTTCTCTTGCTTTAATCTACAAACTCATACCACATGCATATTTCTTTGATGAAACACTTTATTATTTATTTTTTTTATGGTACTTGTCTTTCACAGTAATATTTTTCCTCAGATACCCACAAACTCTAGGATTATCGTCTGAAAAAGGGGAGCCCCTGCTAGGCTAGGAGGTTAGTGAGCAGTGCACCTAACAGGCGAAAAGCTCCTGTACCCTAGCATCTGCCCAAGCACTGCAAAAGGTGTACACAAAAGGTAATACTAGATTATAATATTTCAATACTTCTCCCCACCGATGAGCTACCTGTTCCCTGTTTGACCCTGCTCCTTACAAAGTAAATGCAAAATGATAAACAAGATCCCCTTCGCCATGCAGGCTCCAGACAAAGGGCTGTGTGGACACCAGGAGGAGCCATGCAGCGCAGAGCAGGCATGGGCTTAGTCCTGGCAATATCTCTAGCTGATGTGGTTATCAGAGGCTTGGGCTTTTTAAGCCATGTTCTTATTCAGGAGGCTGCTGCTGTTTCAAGTACCCTTATGGTTACATAATGGAACTTAATTGTACTTAAATTACGTGAAATTAAAGATGGCAGTTACACCCTTCACCTTCAAAGAGGTTTTAATTCAATCCATCCCACTATCAAGTACATCTGTACATACCCACTCTGGCATATTACTAATGTGTTTAATGGAAATAAACAAAGCCATGTGTTTTACATTAAAACAAAAAGCATGAGGTCTTGGTTACATGACAATAATTTCAATGGAATTTTATTTCAGCATGCTATTATCTTGTGGGTCACACACAAAATCACAAGATATTCTTTCTCTCTATGCCTGAGTTCTCATGTACATTAGATGCCCTATTATTAATCTAACCAGTAAGGTATTCCGATACTATTAAAAATTGTTTGGGGATGCTTCTGGCAGTGAGAGTAACAAGACTCTTTTTCAGATCCTTCATTTGTAAATCAAGAAAGAAATAAAATTTGAAGTGATTTATTACAACTGTCATTTAATATACGTTCAATATTTATTCAAGACAGTTATTACATGTTATTACACCTCTAAAAGTCATCTGTAGTTCAAAGATTTCTTTGTCATTGTTTTAAATGCATAAGTAGATTCAGCTGACTTAGCAGACATGTGACTAGCACATTACTGCTCAGAAATTTCTTGTAGTATAAGGTATTAAGCCAAAAAGGAAGTATAATGCAATAAGTTCTTTAAAGTTATAATGGAGCATATGAAAAAGAAAACACAACGCAACATGACTTACTCCTGTAACTAGTCTAACCGGAAAAAGTAATTATAGTCAGCTCTCCATTAACTCTGGGTGGATTATCAAATTTGGAAATAAATTATGCTAAGGATGCAGAACAGCTGCCTTGTTTCCAAACCAGCCAATTAAGGCTGGCAGGGCTTATTAACTCACAGGCAGCACCGTCCATTTTCAGCATTACAGCTCCCAGCCCTGAGCAGGTGCTAGGTAGTTAGATAGCAATGTACTTGGGCAAATAAGCCCTCCTGTGGAAGGCAAACCTGGAAGCATGACTCCAAGGGACTTGAGTCCTGCCTAGGAGGCACAGCCCCCAGCTGCTATCTCACACTGTGGTTCCTTCTGCCACATGAGAAAAAACAGTCTGGGGAGGAACATACTTGGCTGGCTTGCTACCAAGGGACGTTCCTGGCCACCCTCAAGCAAGAACAAGGCTACCACATGTAAAACCCCAAATCCGAGTTTGAAGATGCACTAATTTCTGCAAATCTGCAGTAGTATTGTGAGTTTTTACAGCAGTTTACAAAGTGCATATAGCAGACAAATCTCAAGCTCACAGATCAATCCCAACTTTCTTCTTTCCTCTAAAATTGTTAATTCTCTCAGCTACGAAAACTTTGGGCTACATTCAGGCTTTTGCTGGAAGGAAGCACCATCTCTATTTAGAAACAGCACAACTAATTCATTTGAAGAATTGCTTCGTTCTCACAAATGAATTATTTATTGATTTTATTTGATGTTATTAAGTCTTATTAGTGTCGTAAGCAGTATATATCAAGTATTCTGGCCAATGCAAGGATTTTACCTTATGTTTTCCTATTCTAAGAAGCATTTATCTTAACCTAATGAAGTCAGCTGTAGCTTACAGAACACACATATAAAAATTAGCTGGACTATTTACTGGAGCTTTCTCCAGCTCAGCTCATACTTCTAGGATAGATTTTTTTGATCTAGAAGGTATGTTCAGGTGAATGATTCTAGGTGCTGTGTCTGCTGCTTCCCTTTTCTCTATGTCCTTTTAAATATGTCTTCAGGGAATAACTAAGAAACTGCTTTTCAGTAGCAGGATTTCTGTTGTAACGTGAGTGTTGCATTCAACACCTGGACTTAACAGACAGGAGCCAGAGTGGGGTGAGCTCCCCACT